CTTGAGCTCTTCAGCCACAGCACCACTTCTGGTTTTCTGAGTGGTTTATTGGAGATAAGAGTCTCATGGACTTTCCTGCGCCAGGCTGGCTTTGAACCTCGATCCTCAGGTCTCAGCCTCCTAACTAGGATTACAGGAGTGAGCCCCCAGCGCCCAGCAATCTGGGTGTATTCTTAGCTATTGAGCCCACAATAGTTACCAGGCCTGACTCAGTTGATTGTAAAGGAAATAATTTTGTGTGTGTATGTGTGCCAGTTCTGGGGCTTGAGCTCAGGGCCTGAACACTATCCCTGAGTTTCTTTTGCTCAAGGCTAGCACTCTACCACTTGAGCCACAGAGCCACTTCCAGCCTTTTCTGTTTATGTGGTACTGAGGAATCGAACCCAGGGCTTCATGTGTGCTAGGCAAGTACTCTACCACTAAGCCACATTCCCAGCCTTTTCCCCCCCCCCCCCCCCAGTTGTGAGGCTTAAACTCTGGGCCTAGAGCTTTTGTGCTCAAGGCCAGCGCTCTACCACTTAAGCTCCAGCTCCACTTCTGGCTTCTAAAAAAAAATTTAAGGGAGATAAAGAGTCTCACAGATACTCTGAGGTTGGCTTTGAATCATGATCTTCAGATCTCAGTCTCCTGAGTAGCTAGGATCACAGACAAGAGCCGTGACTTTTTAAAAAAATTTTTTTTGGGGGGGGTCCGGGCGTGGGGCCTGAACTCTGGGCCTAGGGCTGTCCCTCAGCTCTTCAGCTCAAGACTAGCGCTCTACCACTTGAGCCACAGCACCACTTCCAGTTTTTTTCTTTTTGCTTATGTGGTGCTGGGGAATCGAACCCAGGGCCTCATGCATGCAAGGCAAGCACTCTACCACTGAACCATCTTCCCAGCCCAACTTTTTAAAAATTTTTATTTTTTATGATACTCCATAGGATTGCACTTTTTCATTTCCTCTTTTTATTTTTTATTTTTATTCATCAAAACAGGTGTTAAAGACAACTATTGTCAGCAAGAGGTGGAAGAAGATCCTTACTTTGGGGTATTGTTCTAGGTAATTACCAAAGTCACAGCATTTTCTCTCTTACTTCAGGTTGCAGTAAAATTCAGAGACTCTGTTGACAACTTTCTGCCACCATGGGGGAGCTTTTCCGCAGTGAGGAGATGACTCTGGCTCAGTTATTTCTACAGTCAGAAGCTGCTTATTGTTGCGTCAGTGAATTAGGAGAACTCGGGAAGGTTCAGTTTCGTGATGTAAGTACTTGTGGGGCTGCTTCTTGATGACCACTGAACTGTTTTTCTTGTTAATGTCTAATGGCTTTATTATAAATGTTTTGCTTTTGTTTGCAAAAATAAAGGAGTAACAATACAGAACTGTCTTACAGAATGTAGACTACATGCCATGTTTATAGAAGTAAAAAAAATTTTTTTTTTGTTGATCATGGGGCTTGAACTCTGGACCTGAGCCCTGTCACTCAGCTTTTCAGCTCAAGGCTAGTGCTCTACCACTTGAGCCACAGCCCACTTCTGGTTTTCTGGTGGTTTATTAGAGATAAGTGTTTCACTGCTTTTCCTGCCCGGGCTGGCTTTGAACTGTGATCTTCAGATCTCACCCTCCTTAGTAGCTAGGATTATAGGCATGAGCCACTGGCACCTGGCGTAAAAATGTTTTGTGTTAGTCCTTCCATGCCTTTGCTAGAGCACTTTCTTTGAAAACCATCCTAAGCACTCTCAAGGTACTTGTTTGGAATGCTAGGAGAGGAAAGATAGCAAACTAACTTTTCACTTTGAGTTCCTATAAACAAAATATCAGGCATGTAGGTATAGATACATTGTGCATAAGTAAGCGTGTATACTGATAGCCCATTTTATTTTGAGTACTTAGTGAAGATATCAAAAGAAAATGAACAATCTAAGAGTAAAAACTACAAAACAAATACAAAGCCCTGAATTCAAACCCCAGTACTGCTAAAGGTAGAAGGTGTGTACTATGAGGTTTATAATCTGATCAAGAAGTCTTAATACACATTGCTGAAAGGCAGTGTTCCCTGACTCAGATCTTCCTATTATAGTCCCAGAGCTCCATGTACCTCTCATTCATCATGGTCATGGTTTTACATTTCATAGTGGAGTACTTGGTTAAAGTTTCTCTCTTCATCTATGACCTATGCACCAAGAAGATAGGCATGTTTTCTGGTTATGGGTATTGTATCTTTTTTTTTTTTTTTTGGTCAGTCATGGGGCTTGAACTTGGGGCCTGAGTGCTGTCCCAGAACTCTTTTGCTCAAGGCTAGCACTCTACTGCTTTAAGCAATAGCTCCACTTCTGCTTTTCTGGTGGTTAATTGGAAATGAGTCTCATGGACTTTCCTCCTGCCTGGCATGGCTTTGAATTATGATACTCAGATCTCTACCTCCTGAGTAGATAGGATTATAGGCATGAACTAACAGCACCTGGCTCAACCAATGCTTTTTAAGTTCAACATTGTTTCTGAGATTTGATCATATTAATTTAAGTAGTTGTGGTTCATTGCTTAAAACTGCTCTATATGGGGCTGGGCAGGTAGCTCAGTGCTAAAGTGCTTGCCTTGAATGCATGAGGCCCTGGGTTCAATTCTTCAGCACCACATAACAAAAGGCTGGAGTGGCACTGTGGCTCAAGTGGTAGAGGGTTAGCCTTGAGCTGAAGAGCTGAGGTACTGCGTGTAGGCTCAGAGTTCAGTCCCCACGATTGACAAAAACAACAACCCAAAAAACTGCTCTATAATCATTTTAAGCACATGCAGTTTTTCCTGCTTATGAATGTTAAGGTTGATTCTGATTCTGTTTAATAAATGTACATTCTTTTGTTTTGTTTTTGCCAGTCCTGGGGCTTAAACTGAGGGCCTGGGCACTGTCCCTGAGCTTCCTTTGCTCAAGACTAGCACTCTACCACTTAAGCCATGGTGCCACTTCTGGCCTTTTCTGCTTATGTAGTATTGAGGAATAAAGGCCAGGGCTTCATGTATGCCAGGCAGCACTCTACCACTAAGCCACATTCCCAGCCCTATATGTACATTCTTAAGTATATTTTTGGCATACCTATATGATAGTTGTTCTAGGACAAAGATCTTAGTACATCTATTTCTTTGGTATTGAAACTTGAACTCAAGGCTTTATGTTTGTTAGGCAGGTGCTCTACCACTTGAACCACACCCATAGGACCTCTTTCAAAAGAATGTTTTACTTTATTTCATTTTGAGGTATAATCCAGATTGGCCTCAAACTCAGTGATCCTTCTACCTTCCCAAGTGCTGGGATTGTAGGTATATGAAACACTAAAAAGTTTTTTCCCCAGTATTTCTTATTTTTTTTTGGTCGGTCATGAAGATTGAACTCTGGGCCTGGGTGCTGTCTCTCATCTCTTCAGCTCACGGCTAGTGCTCTACCACTTGAGCCACAATGCCACTTCCAGTTTTCTGAGTGGTTTATTGGAGTTAAGAGTCTCATGGAGGGGGCTGGGAAGATAGCTCAGTGGTAGAGTGCTTGCCTTGCATGCCTGAGGCCCTGGGTTCTATTCCTCAGCACCACATAAGCAAAAAGAAAAAAGTCGGAAATGGCGCTGTGGCTCAAGTGGTAGAGTGCTAGCCTTGAGCTGAAGAGCTGAGGGACAGTGCCCAAGCCCAGAGTTCAGGCCCCACGACCGGACCCCAAAAAAAGAAAAAGAGAGAGAGTCTCATGGAGTTTCCTCCTTGGGCTGGCTTTGAACCTTGATCCTCAGATCTCAGCCTCCTGATTAGCTAGGATTACAGGTGTGATGCCTGGCCCAGTATTTTTTAATATTCTTTTAAGATTTATTGACTGGGGGCTGGGAAGGTGGCTCAGTGGTAGAGCACTTGCCTTGCATGCCTGAGGCCCTGGGTTCAATTCCTCAGCACCACATAAACAAAAAGAAAAAAAGCCGGAAGTGGCACTGTGGCTCAAGTGGTTAGAGCGCTAGCCTTGAGCTGAAGAGCTGAGGGACAGCGTCCAAGCCCAGAGTTCAGGCCCCACAATTGGACCAAAAAAAAAAAAAAGATTTATTGACTGGGGATGGGCATCAGTGGCTTACACTTGTAATTCTAGCTACTCAGGAGACTAAGATCTAAGGATCACAGTTCAAAGCCAGCCTAGATAGAAAACTAAAAATAGAGCTGAGTTTTCTAGTGATAGAGTACAAGCCTTGAGCAAAATTGCTCAGGGACAGTGCCCAGATCCTGAGTTCAAGCCCCACCACTGCCAAAAGAAAAAACAAGATTTATTGAGGATCAAAGAGAGTTCTTACTTATGTAACTTATCTTTATTAATATTTATTATATTAAAATTTAAATTTTAGCAATGTTTGTTAAATCATTTAAAATAATAAACCTACTGCCTGTTGTCATCTCTATTACTTTTTTTTTTTTGGTCTGTTGTGGGGCCTGAACTCTGGGCCTGGGCACTGTCCCTGAGCTCTTCAGCTCAAAGTGAGCGCCCTACCACTTGAGCCACAGTGCCACTTCTGGTTTTCTGGTGGTTAATTGGAGATAAGAGTCTCATGGACTTTGCTGCCTAGGCTGGCTTTTAGCTTGATCCTCAGATCTCAGCCTCCTGAGTAGCTGAGATTACAGGTGTGAGCTACTGGCACACGGCTTATACTATTTTTCTGAAAAACATATTTTTATACCAAAACAAACAAAAATTACATTAAGAAGAGTTTTTTTTTCATTTTTCTTTTGTATGCTGGGGATAAAACCCTAGGCCTTTCACCTGTGGCTTATACCTACAATTCTAAGTACTCAGGACGCTGAGATCCAGAGGATCTTGGCTTGAGGCCATCCTGCTCAAAAATAATCCTCAAGACTCTACTTTCAGAATAACCAGCAAAAATCCAGGCACAAACTGTAAAGCACTAAATGAACTAGTAAGCCAAGGAAGCTTGAGGTCTTGAGTTCAAACTCTAGTCCCATAGCAGGAAAATAAATCTCTCTGACCTGTGTCACTAGAATAAGCAGGAAGTAAGAAACACATGGTGATATTAAAACCATTGAGGTGATGGTGATGAGGAATAGCCAAGGGGAAAATCAAACCTATCTTTTCCTGCTCAATAAAAAGTATAACTTGATTTTTCCTGCTCAATAAAAAGTATAGTTTGATTAAAAAAATATTTTGGGATTGTCCATTCAATTTTGCAAGTCTCTCAGTTTGAAGTTGGCTCATTATTTCCTCATGATTTGTTTTAAGTTCAACAGTTTTGTCAAGAATACTACATAAATGATAGTATGTCTAAATGTATTGTATTAGAAGGTACATGATATAATTTATTCTTTTATTGGTAGAAGTAAATTTGATCACCTGACTAAGGCATTGTTTGCTAGATTTCTCCACTGTTAAGGCATTTTATCCTTGTGATTAATAAATAATGTGGGGTGATACTTTTGAGAGTTGTATCAATATCCTTTTCTCCCAAACCTTTCTACCTAATAGTTTTTATATCCTTTGCTTTGAAATCTCAGTGATTACAGTGATACTTACAAAAAATGATTTTTTAATTATTCCTCTGCAATTACTAATAACAACTCTTTTTTTTTTTTTTGCCAGTTGTGGGGCCTGAACTCTGGTCCTAGGCACTGTCCCTCAGCTCTTCAGCTTAAGCTAGCACTTTACCACTTGAGCCACAGTGCCACTTCTGTTTTTTTCTGCTTATGTGGTGCTGAGGAATCGAACCCAGGGCCTCATGCTTGCCAGGCAAGCACTCTACCACTGAGCCACCTTCCCAGCTACAATTCATTTTTAAAAAGGAAAAATGAACTTAGGGCTGATCTAGTTAGGGATCACTAACAACACTGAAATGTGCAAGTTTTGTTTTGTTTTGTTTTTCAGTTCTGGTGATTGAACCCAGGACTTACAACCTGTTAGACAAGCACTCTATTCCTAAGCTATATACCTCCACCATCATCATCATTGTTATTCTCCTCCTCCTTCTCTTCTTCCTTCTCCTTTTCTTCCTTTTCCTCCTCTCCTTTCTTTTCCTCTTCCTTCTTTTGTTTTTAGTACTGGAGATTGAACTTTGTGCTCACTAGACAGATGGTATAACACTTGATCCACATTCCTAGTCTCCTCCCCGGCTTTTTTTTGTGCTAGTCCTGGGACCTGAACTTGGGCCCTGGGTGCTGTACCTAAGATTCTTTTTCTTAGGGCTAGTGCTCTACCACTTGAGCTACAGTGCCACTTCTCTTTTCCTTAGTAGTTTATTAG